TTTGCTATCCGATAAGCAGAGAATGTCACCCTACTCCGTTCTATGTAGAGAAGCTGAATGGATGGCTATTTGAAGCTTAGTTGTGGGGAAGGGTCTGACATCAAAACTAAGGGCACCAGACCAGTTTAGGGCACAGGTCCGCATTGGCCCCCATAAGAAAGGCGTGGCCAGAGGGATCAAGAGCTCAGAGGCTACCCCTGCTGTCCCCCAAGATCTGCCCCCCCCTGAGCTTTTTTGGTTTGTTCTTCCTCTTGGTAGGGCCAGCTAGCTGTTCTTAGGATCCAAATTGAACATAAGTTTCTGATTTACAGTTACCCATTCAAATCTTTTATTTCCCTCATCTTCCCCCCCCCCCCTTCATCTCAGCAGTTAAATATTCAAGGAACAGGGAATCAGGTAGGGCAAGCTTTTTTTGTTATTGCTACTGTGAAATGTCTGGAAATCAGAAACCCTCATGTCAGAGGGCAGAGATCTGTCAGACCCTGAGCTGTCCTCTTTTATCTAAGTTTGTAAGGTGTAAGTGTAAAAGATGTATAAATGAGCTAATATTTCTGCAAGCTTGCGTCAACTGGAAAAGGCAAAGTGTGTGGTAGGATCTTTGGTGCTTGTACTGCTCCTTGCTGCCTGACATTTAATTTGGTTATGTTTCATTGTGGGTATATTCATGAAGACCTGGGCATAGTCTGACTTTATTAACCAGATGGTGAACAGGATATCATTTACCCCAAATTCATTCTCTTTCTCTCTGTGTCTCATTTTTTTGGTGCTCATGATTTTTTCCCCTTTTTTTTGCAGTGCTTCAAATCAAACTACTGTTGAACTAAACATTGGAACTATCATTATCCATCACTCGTGTAATGCTCTGTAATAGAATCTTGGCAAGAGGGCTCAGTCAGAGAGCTGTCCGGTTGTCAGACCATAAGGACAATAATGTTCAGTTATTGTTCTTAAACCCATCTGCCCCTCCCTGGTTGGAATCAAGATAATGCCTGAAATTACAAGGCCAACACAAGATTCTAGTTTGTGCCGTTTGTATAATACTGTGCAATGTGAAGTGTCTGTCTACTAGAACTGGTGGTGATTGCAAGGTGCTGGGGATGATCTGCCACTAAGCTGTTGTACCAAACCTTTTGAGCATATTTTAGTAAACTAAAACAGAGCAATTATCTGCCTGTCTTTTCAAGTACTGTGTGTCATGTTCCACTTAATGTAACTTACTTCTAGATATCTGTACTTGGAAAGAATGGGCAACTTTTGTCATTCTGGAGATTCGTCTCCCCCCCCCAGCCCCACCTGCAGTGCTTGCACTGCCATTGTCAGCTTTGCCACCATAATTTGGCAATCCTCCCAAAATCACTTTTCAAAGGAAAATTTGCCTGGCTTGCTAATGAATAGATTTACAGTTCCCTGGGGGGCATGGATCTCGACTCATATGTAGGTGGGTGAGGAGCAGACTCCTGGTTAGAAGCAAAAGGATCCACTGTTCCTTTTGGTTCACCATGGAATTTCTGTAGCAGAATCTATGGCAGCAATAAGGAATCTTTGGAAATCTGAATGTGTCTCTTAAAAAAGAAGACAGCAACAATGTATGACATTTAGGTCACGTGTAGTCGACATATAGGACTAGCACTTTGAAGAGTGGATAAAAGTCAATGGCTAACTTTAAAAATTGGTTATTAAAATATTTTTTTAAATTGTGAAAATGCCTTTTCTTTCTTTCTTTCTTTCTTTTTAATTTTCTTTAAAATTGTGAAAATGCCTTTCTTTCTTTCTTTCTTTCTTTCTTTCTTTCTTTCTTTCTTTCTTTCTTTCTTTCTTTCTTTCTTTCTTTCTTTCTTTCTTTCTTTCTTTCTTTCTTTCAAAAAAGTGCTAAGAAATAATAGTTTTAGTTAGAATGTCTTATAAGTCAAAGATCTCATTACGCACTGGCTGAAATCCTGTTGTGCTGGTATGCAAAAGGCATAATATTGGAGATGAATTGGCTCAAGTTAAAATATTAACTGTTGCATACCGAGTCATGTGGCTTAGTGTGTAACAAATAATGTCTACGGAGACTTCTTAACATGATGCAGTTTGTGTCCAGAAGTTATTCTGTTTGTGTAGCAGCACAGCAGGATTTGATCCAGTGTCAAGGGTTATGTGCTGTAAAGTTGCATCCAGCATATGGTAAGCTTAAAAGGGTTTTCTGAATATGTAAAATATTTAAGGAGTGGCTTTACCATTGCTGTCCCACAGAGAGTTTCCATGGCTACATGGGGATTTGAGCCCAAATATCCTAAATCCTAGTCTGCTCTTAAATCCACTATACTTGATGGACTGTCACATTGTATCTTGTTATGGAATAGGGATTACAAATGCTAATTTTATACTGTGGAATGTGCTCGTATAATTTTTTAAAAAAAACATTTTAAAAAATAGGATCTAACAGTCCTTTGAGTTCCACAGGCTTCTCTGTAGATTATTGAAGTTTAATGTTTTTGTCCCTCCTGGCACTGAGTCCAGGAGAAATCAGCAGAAACACCTCTAGTTCTCAAATTGGGGCTGGCTGTATTTCCAAACATGCATACATGCTTACAATAATATATGGAGAAACAATATACTTGATGTCAGCCCTGTTTTCCTGCTCTCACTGAAGTTATTCGTGAAGCTTTCTTGACTTGACACAATGTTAGAAATGTTAGAAATTTTTGGGAGCCCATCATTGTTTTCAGTATTTTCTTTGTGAGATGCAACCCTAGCAACTGTTGCTCTGGAGCTTTGTGTAATAATAATTGCATGCTGTGAAATCAGTTCTGACTTACGGCAACCCTTTTCAGTTTTCCAGGTAGAGATTGCACAGAAGTGTTTTACCCTTCCCTTCCCTTCCTCTGGGGATATCCTGGGACTGTGCAGTGTTTCCAAGGCCACACAGGCTGGCTCTGCTTGCAGGAGGCACTGTGAGGAATCGAACTCCTGACCTCTACCTAAGCCATTGAGCGATCTAAACCAGTGGTTCTTAACCTTGGGTTACTCAGGTGTTTTTGGACTGCAACTCCCAGAAGCCTTCACCACCAGCCGTGCTGGCTGGGGTTTCTGGGAGTTGCAGTTCAAAAACACCTGAGTAACCCAAGGTTAAGAACCACTGATCTAAACTGCTGCAACTTTATGTAGGCAGAGCCAATTCTTTATTTTTCTCTCTGGAAGTGCATTTTGGTCGGCAAGAGAAAGGATTTGGATTTAATCTGAAACTGTGCCCCACTTCCCCCACCCCATAAGTGCACTCCTGCTTGCTATAGCCTTAATATATATATATTTTCCCCAGAGTCTTCTTGCCCACCTTGACTTCTATATCCAGTTATCCCGTGTTCGTTGAAACTTCCAATGCAGTTTGTGTAGAAAACCAAATAAATCTGCACTGTAAGAAATCATGCTTGGGGAAGAAGTCTGGATTTATAGTTGGTCCTCTTCATGAGATTTCATATTTATAGCTCGGGCGAGTGTTGCCTTTTATTTCATTGCTATTCCTTTTTGTTTCCCCCCCCCTGGGTGGTGGTGATAGGCTTGGCAAGCACCAGGCCGACAAAAAGTGGGTACGGCTGGAGAACTGAGCGGAAAATTCAGCACACACCTGCGCCCTGTTATTTTGCTGCCTCTCTGGTTTATGCACACAGTCACAGGGGTGCCTCTTTGTCCATCTTCATGCCATGTTGTCCTGGCATGGAAGAACTTCTGGCTCTCTGCTGCAAGGACACAGCACAGTGCTGGAAGCCTTTCCACATTGCCTAGGCAACGTGGAGGCAGTTTGCTTTCTTTCCATGTTGTGCTGCAAAGACTGCAGCAAGAGCACCAGAAAAGAATGCGTTTCCTGACTTTTATCCTGCAATGGCTCGGCCTCATTCATTGGGTTTTAGATGTATGTTTCTAGATAAAGTTGCCTTCCAGTTGTAACTAAGTTCCCCTGGCTTTTTCCCCCCTGCTTTTCTCTCTTTTCATTAAAAAAAAAACATACTTGTAGAAAAGACAAAATGTACAGTTCTGTACAAGGTCTTCTAATACACCCTGTATTTTCATTGGTAACAATAGGAACTCCTTTCTTGAAACACTCTGAGTGTTTCCCTTTTTCCACTCTAGACAACGTGGGCAGGTGGGTCTTGCTACTAGACTGTGGCATCTGGCTTCAAACGTTGTGCTGAAAGGCTGCAGTGCAGCATAAGGAAAGAGTGATGTGTCTTTGTATTGCGGGAACAATTTATGGTCCCACTTCTTTTATAGAGTGGAAAACAATTTTATAAACAAGTGCTTTGGCAGAGTTCAAGGAGGTACTATGATAGAATTTGGAATGAAAGAAGCCGCAATACCTTCAAGTGGGATTGGGTTTGTGCTGGATGTGGTGGAGGATGGTTATGCATATGAATTAACTCTTTCCCAATAGTACAGTTTCTTCAAAAATCTGCTTCCTGCCCAACCTGGTTAGGTTTGGGAGAAAACACCCCACTGATGGGTGTAGAAGCTTCTGTCTCAGGTCTTACATCAGCTTTCAGTGGAGGTAGGATTCTGGATGGCAAGATGGCATGGGAAAAGTTTATCCCCTTCTCCCAAACTGTGATGTGCTTAATCCTTCTTGCCCCATCTCTTCACAGCTGTCTCTTGTTCAAGAAAACCCAAACACACACATATATATATTTGTATAATCAGACCTGTAGATACGCTGAGATTTTATTCCATGAGTCAAGCAAAATCTAAATTTTAGGGATGTTGAAATGTTTGGTCATGATCCTGCCTGTCCTTTCATGAGTGAGATTTAAATGCATGCTTAATTCCTGTTCCAATGGGATTCAAAAAGTGATTACATCCAGATTGTGCTTTTGAGTATTACTTGGATGACACTAATGGGGAAATATCCAAGTTACTTCTGTATCTCTTAACAGCACCACAAACATAAATTACAGAACTGTAATTTAACTTAGAGCATGGTAATTTTTAGCATACCACATAATGTTCACTGCTTGCTTGTTTTGTAGAGAAAGAGGAAATTCCTTGGCGTGAGGGTTTTGAAGATGTGATTCTGGTTGAAAAGGTAAGGGTTCACTCAGTATATTAATGTGAATGAAGACTGAAAACTTTGAATTGCAAAGAGAACCATTGAGATGTCCTTATTCATAGAAATGAAAATATAAATTCAGAGCGTGGAAGTAATGTGTTACAAGCAATGAGGTTACCCGTAACACAGTAATTTGGAGAATAACAAGGGCAAAGCAACAGTCTTTTTGCATATAATGGGACAAATAGTAGCATTGCTTCTATTTTCCCCATGCTGGATCCTCTTTGTTTGTGTTTGAAACATATATAAAATTAATAAATATGTAAAATATTTTTTGCTCTGCAACATCAAGAACATTTGTGGTAGCTAATGCCAAATCTTATATGGTACATACTGAGGTGATAGGAAAGGGATGTTCGGATTAACTCAAAATGGAAAAACATGAAAGAGACCCTTTCTTTTGTTTATAGAGTCTTTCTTGGCTTTATGATAGACAGTGTCTGAAGCAAGGAAGATTCTGGAATCCGAAAGAGAGGTTAATGAAACCTATGACTTTATTATGCATTTTGTCATTTTGGATTACTCAGCTATTTTGATCTTTTATTTTATTGATTTTTGGAGTAACCCCCATCCATTTCCTTTATTGTTGCCTGGAGCACCTGCCTGCTTGCTGCCCTCACCTGTTGAACTACTGCCTACGCTACTGGACTGAAGCTATCAAGACCTGTCTCCTCAATCTCCCATATTTGTAGTTTTGGGTTGGGGAGGGTTGATTTTATTGCCCTCAGGGACTGGGTGTGTGTTTTATTTTAATTATGACCCTGATGGATGTTTTCTCTTTCTCATCTGTACTGTTTCCTGCTGATGAATTGATGAGAATGGTGAGGATGGTGATGCAATGATAAATGTGAATGTCAAAATACTATTTGTGTCTGCAGAGATCTGAGAATATACTGTTGTTATTGTCCACTTCTTGAGTGGATGATTATCTGATGTCCTTCACCTTCCTTTTTTGGGCTAGTGATCTCTAGGGCTTAATTGGCTCCAGAAACCAAAATAGGAAAACTGAAATGAAAGAACCTGAAAGGCTTGGGTATGTTGCAGTTTACCAAAGGGACAGGTACACAAAGAAACCTGAAACTGAAAGAAGAGCCCCATGCCCCCCCAAAAAAACCCCAAAAGTGTTATGAAAGTTCTCCTCATGCACACTTCATTGATTTGCTGAATTGTCTGCATGAGTAGGGCTTTTTGTTGGGTTGTTGTTAAGGCACTTTAATAATCTCCAGGCCTTTTGACAGTTACTTGACATGTTTATTTTCTCCATGAGTTTTATCCAATTATCTCGTTGAGTTCCTGAAACGAAAGGAATTAATTGGTACTCAGCCAAAATGGTTTCTTCGCTCAAGGGAATTTGTTCAAATAGTGAAAAATAATTATTCGTTTGGGCGTCTGTTTCCAGAGTTAGGCCTTGGATGTAGTTGGTTCTTCATCCTCTGGGTATGTAGAGTTGGAATGATCTTTTTACTGCCTTGACAAACTGATATGATTCCACCCAGTGTTAGACTGAACCTCTGCCTTTAAAAAAACCCCTCTGGCTTTTAAAAAAATTATTATTTCCTGCAGAGTGGTACTGTTGATGGTGAGACATGCTGTCATGAGTTGGCATCCATTATGGCCCAGTGCTGTGTGTTTGGAATTGGGGCACAGACTATTTGCACACAGTGTTGGGCTATAGGTTCACTAGCAAATATTAAGTTCTATTTATAGGCATGTTGCCATCTTCCACTGTTGAAAGAAAAAGTTTGCTATAATGAATAGAGATGGGCATGAACCACCTTTTCAGTGGTTTGTCCTGGTTCATTTACTGCCACAACAGTTGTTTGGTGGTTCAGTGCCCTGTCCTCTCTAGCAGGTGCCCACTCAGAAGCAGTGCTTGGAGGAGGTGGGGCAGGGAAGCGTGGAATGGTTGTGGTGGTAAATGAACCAGGACAAACGGTCAAAACTGTCATCTGTGCGCACCTCTGAGCACCAATAAGGGTTAAGTGAGCTAGTGCACGGCAAGTATAAGAGCTAATGGGCTGAATAATTGATTGTTCTTATTTATTTGAGAGGGGGGTATTTCGAGAAAATCTTGCCCTTTTCTTACTGTTTAAGATTTTCTTTAAAGGAACAGAATAGCAACATAATGAGTTTTCATGATTATTTTTTAACATTAATAATAATAATAGGTTTTCTCTTGGGGCTTTGCAGTACGTTACACAACAAATTCCTTGCCACCCCCACCATGAAACAAAAAAGAACAAGCTGTCTAAAAATATTTCTTTTAATGTGAGGTTTAGCAACAGCCATTACCTATGTTTCAAATGCAGACACCCTGCTCCCTGTGGTCCTTTACCGGATAACATATCATTAAATATTTGATGTCATGTTCAGTTCTTCATAGTATAGTTTATGGTTGTGGTCACATAGGTTGTGATTAGAAATGGGGGTATTCGTATTCAAACACCCTTGCACAGGTGGACATAACAAGGGCCCGGTGGTTGACTAGCCACTCCTGGCAAGAAGCAGGACGATGAGCCTCCCTGCCAGGTCAAAGAATGGCTAGTGGACCACGAGCTCTGGAGTGATAAGAAGGGAGCGCAGAGCCCATGGCAGCAGCAGAAGGGTGAGTGGACACCTGTGTGTGGGTATTCATACAGTGGTGCCTCGCTTGATGATGTTAATTCGTTCCAGCGAAATCGCTGTAGAGCGAAAACATCAGACAACGAAACGAAAAAATATTGAAACACATCACGAGCTCTGGAGTAATAAGAAGGGAGCGCAGAGCCCATGGCAGCAGCAGAAGGGTGAGTGGACACCTGTGTGTGGGTATTCATACAGTGGTGCCTCGCTTGACGATGTTAATTCGTTCCAGCGAAATCGCTGTAGAGCGAAAACAGCGTCAAACGAAACGAAAAAATCCCATTGAAACGCATTGAAAACCCGTTCAGTGCGTTCCAATGGGCTGAAAAACTCACCGTCCAGCGAAGATTCTCCATACGGCGGTCATTATAGGTGCCTGTAAAGCAAGGAATCCGTCCTAGAAAACAGTGGGGGGCCATTTTGAAACCCGACGATCAGCTGTTTGCTGATCAACGTAAAGCGAAAAATCGGTTCCCGAAGCAGGGAACTGATCATTGCTAAGCGAAATTCCCCCATTTAAATCATTGTTTTGCGATCGCTTTTGCAATCGCAAAAATGTCAACACAATGCAGATTCGTTGTAGAGCGGGGTAATTGTCCAGCGGGGCATGACTATATGAATATGAATACCCCTATCTCTAGTTGTGATCACATGGGGAATTAAATGGGTACAGTGGTGCCTCGCACAACGAACACCCCGTAGAGCGATGAATTCGCTCTACGGGGACGTTTTTTCGATCGCTAATGCGATCACAGAGCGACGTCCCCAATGGGCGAAAATCGCAGAGTGAAGGTCGGTAAGCGGTTCGCTTACCGACCTTCACTTTGCGACCCACCGATCAGCTGTTCCGTGGCTACAAAATGGCCACCGGAAGCCCCAAAATGGCCACGCGCAGCGTTTTCACGCCCTCGTTAAGTGAGGGGAGGGCGCAAAAATGGCTGCCGGCCATAGGGAAGCATCGCTGAACGGTGAGTATTCGGCTCATTTGGAACGCATTAAACCATGTTTAATGCGTTCCAATGGCTTTTCCTGCCCCATTCAACGATGCTTTCACACAGCGATGGTTAATCCGGAATGGATTAACCTCGCTGTGCGAGGCACCACTGTACGTTCAAATGCCAGCTGAAAACATGGATGTACATCCAGGCCTTCCCTCCTGTCAAGTACTGATTTCTTTTGCTTTGCTATTTATTATTTATTTATTCCTATGCTAATGTTTTTATGTTTTTTAATTGTTTTGATATTGTGTATAGTGGTAGAATATAGCAGATGGGTGGGATATAAATCAGTCAAACAAACAAACAATTAAACAAACAAACAAACAAACAAATAAATGAATAATATTCTGGACTACTTGTGGAGCAGTCCAGTGCAATTCATTTCCTGGAGATTACGCAACATATGGGGAATTGTGCTTCAACTCAACTCCAGACCATGCCCAAGATGGAACTTTTTGGTCAAGCGATAGGGCTAATGCTTCTTGGTGCTAGTCTGAAGCACTTTCCTGGAGATGGGTCGCTTTAGGGGAGATCACTCCCAACAGAGCAACCCTTTCCAGTGCAATCGGCAGTATGCTTTTCCCACCATCTGATTGTACTCTCAGCATCCTGTAGAATTTGTTTTACAGTTCACTAACTTGAGTGACTTTCAACTTTTGCTAAAGCTAAATTTGTTTTAATTCTGTTTTAACTAGTGATATTTTAACATTTAATTGTATCTTAATATTAATAGCTTAATTTATTGTGATTTTCAACATATGTACTTTCTAGGTGTTGAGAAAGGCATGATCTAAATAAAGTAAATAAGTAAAACAAATTATTTCTTAATTTTATTTTTTCTTCCATTTTAGATTAAGGGAAGTTTATTTCTGAACTTGGAATAAATGTGCTCAGTTCTTATCTAGGTGGACTAAAAACAAACAAATTAAATGTGCACTGAACAAAAAAGAATAGAACTCTTGGGACAATTTTTTTGTTCAAAAATAATCTTCCATAGCAACGTTGCAAACTCTTTTAGGCTTTCCCAATAGGCAACATGCTTGTATTGTTTCGCTACAAGAAACAAATGTCAAATGGGTTTTTGTTTTTATATGTTCATTTTTAAAATATATTTTTGTTATTTCCTGGAAACTGCCAGAGTAGTGGCTTGTCCACAGGTTTTTTTAAACAAACAAATCCATAGTAAGTTAATACATTCATTAGAACCAACTACTAAAGTATCACCAAAATATACAGGTAGGTTTCAAATTTTTTTTTTTAAAAAAGAACATCCTGTTAGATATGTCTTTGTTTATGTATTAGAGCTGACTAGATAGCTCAGTGGTTTAAGTATCTGATTGTGAAGTTAGAAGTTGA